TGAAATGACAGGAGAGTTAGTKATGAGACATGGAACCAAACAAAAAAACAAAACAAACTAAGTGTTAGTGTGACTACGTTACACATAATGCATTTGCCAGCCCCTAACCCCTGAACCCTAACCTAACCTCTGAAAAAGTGAGGACACGCCAAAATGTCCTCGCTTTCCAAAAATGTCCTCACTCTGCATGGCTCGAAATGGTCCTCACAAATATATAAGTAATAATAAATAAACAAGTATTCACACACACACACACACACTTGATCTAGGGGAGAGTTCATGCTCTGGTATTTGCCTGACATTTAATTTCCATCCGTTCCATGTGTGTCAAACACCTGCTCTCATACAGCAAATACTTAATTCCATGATTTACAGCCTGTTAGCCGAGCCCATCAGGCAGTTGGTAATTTTCAGAGACAAAAAACCAGCACTCTTGCCTTATTGTGTGCATGTGCCTGAATGTTTTGCATTTGTTTAACCTGAACCTTTGGTGTTGGGAAGAAAAAGTCCCATGACTAGAAACTAACCTCTGGCGAGACACCATGAAATCCTCCTCCTCCTCCTCCTCCTCCTCTTCCTCCTCTCGCTCTGCAACATGTTTGACCTTTCTACCATTTAAATGCCATTTGATCTGCTGGATGTGAGACAACAGGGCTGGAGAGAGAAAAGCAGAATATCAGAGGGTCAGAATAATTTAAAGAGACATGTCAAAACACAGACACAAGAGAAAAACCCATGCAAGCGATAACAAGCACATGTTTTTGAGTTTTTTTCACAATCGAGGGATAACAAGGGAATTTCACTGCAGACTTCAAAACAACGGAGAATATAAGCTTCTGTTTAACCACTTGAGTCTAAGCTAGTAACAACTTGCTGTGGCAGGTGAAAGGAATCATGTGAAAAAATCACGATAAAAGGAATGAGAAGATTTTGACAGTTTTAATTTGAAAGAAGCACGACTGTAGTAATGACTTCATAAAAAACCTTTGAGACATTCTGAGATTATGAAGGGGAGTGAAACATCGGCATATTTTTAAGATTTTCAGTGGAAGTCAAATTTTTTTATCATGAAGCCTGCTTTGGGTCTCATCTAGTTTAATATAATAATTTAGCATAATAATACCAATAGATCGATAGTTTTCCAAATAGCATATTAATTGCTCTTGTTAGCACCGATCCTGAAGGGACCAAGACCTGAGCCATGTGGCACACCATACATTAATAGGCTATGATTCATTGACTCTGAATCTTGTTTTATGCAGATAGGATTAAAATAGTGTACTATATGTGCAGCTCCAGATATCCAGATTTCACTAAGTAGATTTAAATCATGGTCTATAACGAGTTGTGCATCCTCAATCCTAAAAATAGAGTTACTTGGTGGTTTTCTTCCATCTACACTCAACCTTTCTATATCTGTTCAGCACTTAGATTCAACTTGTCCGTTAGAACCTTGTCATCACCACAAATCTACATTACATACAAAGCAGGTCTCCGCTGGCTGTTTAACACAGTTATTGCAGAGCTGACTGAGCTGTCCTCTATGATTTCCTAGACAGGATAGAATACTGTCTGACTCAGAGACACAACTAAAGCATGAAGAATAAAAACACTGTCTAGACGCTGAAACAATGTTAGTTTGACATATTAAACTAAGAGTCACTGCACATTTCCTTGTTGTAGACTTGGGCAACCTTCCCACTAAAAGCCCAGAGGAAATGAGAGCAGAGTCATTAATCTTGTGCAGCATATAGACAAATACATAAACAGACGCACACGGAGACAAAGAGAAAATCAACCCACACAGAGAAGCACTTGTAAGATGTTGAGAAAAATGTACCTGAGGACACGATCGAACTTGGAGCTTGTTCATTCATTTCTTAGATTTCGTATAAGAGGACGTTCAGGCACAGAGTTGACTGGTGAACGCTCCGGGGCTTCAGCTCTGCATCAGGTGGTTAATTTGAATGGGAAACAGGTGAGTGGTGGGAGGAGCAGGAACCAGAGGTCACGCCCACGCTAGTTGTACAGCGACAGGGTCTGAAATCACTTCATTACACTTACAGTAGAGATGGAAAATAAAACCAAATAAAAATAGTTCCATGGAACATCATGTTTCCCACAGTATCAGAATGGATAAAACATTAAAACACGATATTCCTTTCAAAGCAAAAAATGATTTGTGAGGTGATTAAAATGTTTTATTTCACAAAACATTTTAATCAACGTCAAGGAAAGGGCAGAGACATTTTTCAGTTTTCTCACTGCTGTCTTAAATTTAGACATAAAGTAAATACTAGCAAGATTGCATGATTATCACTGAATATAGATGAGAGAAAGTTTATTGTCAAAAGTTGTGTCATAAGTTTGGACGTCTCTTCGCTGAACTTGTGTTGAATGTATAGACTGTGGTTGATCACTGACAGGCAGCTTAATCAAAGAGAAGTGAGCAGCGGTGAGAAAAAATGGTTGTGATTAAATGGTTGTGTGTAGTTTGACAGTCAGTGCAGACTCTGACAGTCTAAGCTTTATTCAGATCACTTTATTCAATCCACACTAATTTCCCAGCATGCTACCCTGCAGGAAGAGGCCGTCCACACACAAACCTGTCTGGAAATCAAAAGTGACAGCATAATGGGATTTTAGACGGACACGGCAGAAGACAGGTAATGAAAAGAGTCGAGCAAATACCTGTACACAAGCGCATAAACAATATCAGCATAAAACCCGCTGTGGCCAATAGTCTCTACTGGAAATATCACAACAAAAGAATGTAATTTTCTTGCGTTTCAAATGAACGACTACAAGACCAACTTGTTCATAATTAAAGAAGAAAGTCCCGTAAACAGGGAGGAGGGTTCAACTGGAATGGGAAGAATCCATCACTCCGCACACAGAGAACGACCACTATCCATCACAGTGGCAGCATGAGAGGAGGAGGAGGAGGAGGAGCAAACGCTGCTCATCCGTCAGTCAGCTGTGATGTCAAAGACTTTCTTCTGACCAGCTGAGGAACTTTCCACTTGGTTTATGGTTTTGCTTGGAAAAGCTTTGCAGGCTGAGATCTTCACAGTGAAACTGCACAGATGCTCCTCTTCGACAGGGATGTTGACCGGAGGTGCTGACGTTGGAAAGGTCATTTGTTTTCAGATCTGTACAGTTGGTCATTTAACTGTGGAGCATGTGTTTTTAGAGTGTAAATGCAATGTGCTTCTCTCTCTTGCAGCACTAATCCCAATTTTAAATCAATTAACTGATCATTTTGATTAAAATTTTGAAACTTAAATTCGTTATTTAATGATAAAAATAGAATAGAATACATCGTACTCCATAAGGTGCACAGGAACATAACCTTCATCCCACCATAAACACGATCTGCTCCAAACCAAAGCAGTGCATTTGCTGAATATTAGAACTTCATTACCACTACTTGAATCTGCTACGATATAGATAGCAGATTTAATTAGTCAATTCGTCAAACGTTTAATTTTCTCTAATGTTCAATTCTTTAACACAAATTAAATCATTTATCTCCTCCGAATGTTCTTTGACAAAGACGGGTTGATTATATATGTTTAAGGGGGAAAGCAGAAAAAAAAACCTGCAATGCACATGCATTATTATTTTCATAGACAGAATTAATAAGCAGCTATGCAGCCGTCACTCACTGTACGTCTCCGACACAATGACAGAACAAGATGACAGTAAATGAGATGTCAGCCATCAGACAAATGTCATTGTCACCATCAACGGCCTGAACATGTAAAAGAAAATCAATTGTTTGTTTGTACAATGGAGAAAGACGAGGAGAGCGAGATGATTCAAGAGCTCGATGCAGTTCTCATTAGAATGAAGATTTAACTCACGAACATTTGCATAATAATTAAGCCTTTCATTATAGATTCACTGTAACACACACACACACACACACAGTCACAGGGTCTCTGAAACACGGTATCCCAAACTTTATTTTATTGGTTTTATCAGAAGTACCATGTACCATGGAGAGCAGTCACAGTTAGTGGCAACACACATACAACTTTCCTCCTATCAGATGTTTAACAACAAAAATCAATTAAAAAAAAACCCAAACAAACAAAAAGAAAATTAAAATACTCATACAGAGAACAGTTGCAAAAAAAAATCTTCATTATTACCAACATTACAACTCGTGGTTATTGTTCCATAAAAAAAAGAAAACACACCAAATCATATTGACAAACATGAAATTCCCGACTACACCCTGTGAGAGCGAAGAGAAGAATAGAGAAAAGAAAGAAAGATGGGAGAGATGGATGGAGGAAGAGTGTGGACGTGGAAAAAAAGGATTAAGAAGAACATAAGAGGGAGTTAGTTTGGAAAAATGACGGACGTTCGGAATCAGACACACGGGGACTCGAGTGCAGACAAATGATTGAGCAGATATACTGTGTATAAGCATGGAGGGATGTAGATGGCAAAAAAAAAAGAGGGATAAACAACAAGATGCGAAGTGGCCAGACAAACGTCAGACGGACAGAGCCGACGAATTAAACAGTGACAAGATTGACAAAAGCCCATCTGATACGCTCATCCAACAGAAACAATGAAGGAGCACAGCGATGGAGAGAAGAGACGGGTAAATTAACAGATTGAAAAGAGAGAGCGAGGCAGAGAGAGATAGAGAAACAAGCGAACAACTTCTCAAAAAAAAAAAGGCAATATATGTCATTCTTGAGTGTAGCGAGTGTTTTTGTTTCCTTTAAATAAATATGTAGAATTTACTCTCTACGGTCAGTGGGATGACCATGAAGTCCACCTCACTTATAACACTGTACAGTATATACACAATATTCATCATCATCATTATTATTATTATTATTATTATCTCTTTAATGACAAAATAACCTTTAGATGTACATACAGTATTCCTCGCCCTCTCTCTGAGAATACAGCCACGGTATTTGAAGTAGCAAGCAGTGTCTTTTTTTTTTTTTTTTTGTACAAATAACACATGCAACTCCCGTATAGAATATTTATTTAAGATACATAACTCCTTAAAGATCTCATCTCTCATTCAATAACAGCAGATATTGCCTTTTTAACAAAAATAACCTTAATTAATTAGTCATGTGCAAGTTACTCCAAAACGAGAAGACGTCATTGCCTTCGTTTAAATTAAAAACATACCGTTGTTAAGCTCTACATACATTTAAAAAAAAAAAACTGAATCAAAGATGAAAAGAAAACCTGAATCTGTACAACATTCAAACCTTTTTTTTGTCAACTCCGGGGGGTGGGGGATGGGATACGATTCTCTATAACTATATACAGACATGTTATCATTCATGCACAGTATCAACAAGTAGCACATCGACATTCCAAAATATGGAAAACATGGCAGAGGGAGGGTAAAAAGGGGGAGGGACATCTGGGAGGAGAAAGACGGAACAAAAAAAGATTCACTGCCCGTTCTGGTTAATGTGGCAGCAGAGAGGCTGAGAAAGACGGGTAAGAGACACAGAGGGACAGATAGACACCATAACAATACACATGCTGGGCAGGAGAAGTCCATTTCAGTCTCACTGACCCAGAAATCAATGTATGGCTGTAACTTCATGTTTTTTTTTTCTTTAATTTTTATCTTCTTCCTCCTTGTCTTCCTTCTTCCTCTCTTTATCATTATCCTTTTGACGTTTACTTTAAGGGTAGAGAATAGCTCCGGTAATGTTTTTTTTTTCTTTTTCCCAACAGTACATTCAGTACCAGCAGAGCTGTGAGTCCTTCCTTTAGTCCGTTTGTCTGTTGGGTGTCGCTCCTCCGTCTGTCAGACAGATAAGTCGGTCGGTCAAGAAGCGAACGAGGCAACGAACGAATCATCAATCTTTACATCAGAAGCAACGTCGCTAATGGTACACAACTGATTCAACACCATTGTATTTTTTTTTCTTACATCAGGTACAACATTATCAGTCCAAAAAAACAACAAAATCTCTGTTGCCGTTTACATCAGAAGCAACTTTTGTTAATGAAACAACACAGCAGCCGTTTCACGCAAGCGAAAAGAACCAGTGCAATGCTTTTCCTTCATTTGAAACCCCGCCCACTTTCTCAAACCCCACCAAAGAAGAATAAAATCGACACTACTACGATCTACAGCTTGTTCTTCTTCTCCTTGCTTGGTCTTAGTGTAAAACTGTATGTACAGCGATGGCCTGTCTGACCTTTGACCCGTCCAAACCAAGGTAGGAAGCTAAATCTAAGTGAATCTGCAATTCTTTGCCTTGATGAGTTAGAAAAACAACCGTTGCAATCGCGACAAACTTGCCAGTCGCAGCTAACTGCTATTTAGCTTCCCAGCTTGGTACAAACTCTTTGAACGGCTAACCTGTCATTAGCATCGCGTAAAACTAGCCTTTAAGTCAAGGTAGAGAGAGGTGGTGCAACAAAGCTGGCGCAGCAAAAGAGCTAACAAAAAAAAAAAAAAGTTAGCTTCTTGGAAATTTGTGCAGCAAACTAGCTTGATGCTAACAACTACGTTACTGCTAAGCTTTTCACTTCCTCCACAAGTTAACTGTGACAATTTAGGCAGCAGGCCATTTTAAGTAAATCCAACATGATTTAGTTATATTTAAGATACTATATATACCCTGTTAGAGTTACTCAAAAAGTGATGCAAACTGCTTCTACAACGTTAATTCTTTTTCTTTTGCGCAAGCTAGCATAAACTTTTTACAGTGTATAAACCTTCAGCCCCATGCCAGTGAAGAGACAAATGTATACAAATTTAAATAGAAAGATTCTAGTTAGCGCTCAAACAATATCAAGGCGTCTGTTTGTCTCTTTTCAGAGTGGTAATGAAATATGAGTAATATTTGGTGTTTTAAGAAAGTTCCACTGGTTATAAAACCCTTTACAGGTCGGACTGCAAATATTAAGATTGTGATAGAAAGATTTCCCTTTGGCAAAACAGGGGTAAACTGCCACTCCAAGGCCTTCACATGAGAACAGCTACTCTAATGGAGAGCCATACATTGTGCAGTGTTTGGCAAATGCAAGCAATCTGACATCTCAGTTCTTCTTCATCTTCGGCTGCCAAAGGATAATTTCATTCTAGAGTTCTTCCACAAACGCTCGACATTTGCAGCATTTGGAAAGTATTGGTTGGAATTGTGAGATTGGACAGATTTCAGTATGCGAGCCTCGTTTGCTGGGCCGCTGAATTTTTTTCAATTGTCGTAGAGTGGTTCTTGAGTGCATGATTTGTTGTGTCGGAATTTTTATAAGGTTATCTTCTTCTTCAAGATACTCTGGATTTGCCAAACTCATCCAATCCAGGGCTCTGCTCAGCTCTACTCTCTCACAGGGGTTGAAAGCTGTCTGTGACAAGATTGTTGCCAAGTTTTAAATGGATTACATCTCGTCCAGACTACTAACTTTACAGATGACATTTAAAACACTACTTATTATATAATACATCAAGTAAAAAAAACAACATCAGCAGGAAAATTCTGGCCAATTCAGATGCTTACAGTGTAGTGCCATTTATACTATGGACTTTTTGAATGCCTACATATACAGTAAGGTTTGTGTACATCGATATTTAGGTGTTTTGGCTGAACGAGTAAAATAGTTAACAGTCTGAAGTGTAAAACTCTGGGATAGTCGCAATAGGCTTGAACATTTATGTTCTGCACATGTTTCAGGGCACTTTCATGCTTTTAAGGATATATTTCATGGCCAGTGACGATGAGTTAGCCTGTGATAATGACATCCTGTTACGTTTGAACTAAAATGTGGTTGATTTGCTGATTGGAAAGTTAAATATTCTTGTGTTGCTAGTGTTCATGAAAGCAGGTATTGATACATGTTTACAAGCTAATCTTGTATTTGACAAATTGGTTTTAAAAGATGCCTGGCTGTTGCTTGAGATCATGTTTGGTATCTATTGTCTTAAAACAGAACGATGAGAAGCTTCAAGATGCCTTTTAAAGCAATCACCACGTTTATCAGGGTGGAAGAGCAACATCTGTCCCATCGTACACAAACCTTTCATAACATCCAAGCTCAAAAGTCAGTTAGAACACTGCTGAGATACATTTCTAGTTATACCTCAAATGAAAAAAGTATGCTTCAGGGAACTCATTTTAGAGCCTGTGTGGACCTGTATTATAAAGTGAGTTACACTACCCCATGATTTCCTTCAGTACTGTTCAGATTCGTCTGTATACGTAAGTTTTCGGAAGATGTGTGTTAAATGAATGGATAGGAGTACGATGAGCAGGCTCGTTTTCTTTCTGTATCTAATGTTTAGCATAAATGAGCCTTCAAACAACACCTTAAAAAGTCAAGGGACGTTGCACCCCCGACACTTTCATATGAACTTGCTCAAAGCTGGATAAAGAGCCAGATATCACTGACAGCCCAACGTACAGTAGGTGAACTCACTTTGTAAGACAGGTCACAGAATTGCAGTTTTTTGGGGGTTGGTGTTTTCCAACATACAGCCAATTGAAATGATTGTACAAGGATTTCATTCAGAGTCCGAGCTTTATACAAAGAGATTAATAAAGACAGTCTGAGACTAGATGTACCCTATGTTACTGCCGGGCTACTGTAAGACAACGGTATTTGCCCCTTATCTGTTAGTAAAACTACCTCCACATCAACAGCAAATACTTCATCTGATCCCATGTTAAGAATGTAGACTAGCCACTGGAGTAAAATGTTAGCAGTTGGTTTCCAAGGCTTATATATTTAGGTAGTGGCGGCAGCCTTGGGATAACCATAGCAGGGATGGTTTAATTTGGAATAAGGCTTATTGCGATTTATAAGCAGACTTTGTAATCAACTGGGAAATACTCCCACCAAAAGGCTGAAGCTTTGTCTGCTGTTCTGATATTTGTGTAACTCTGGATACTTGGTCTGTCAATGTGTGCACTAAATGAAGCTGTGTTACTTATTTTATCGTCTTGCTTTTTTTGTAGTTTTTTCTCTTAAAGCCACACTGAAGCAAATTCCTACCAACTAAGCGAGTGATGTATAAGGTTGGGGGAATACAAATCCCTGTTAAATAGCCCACCAAGGGCCAATCTATACGAAGAATCATAAATCAGGGACCAGGAAAAAGGATTAGTGGTTGTTTCATACAAAGCCCTTGAGGATTTTGATTGGTCCACTGACCAGCCAGCGGGAGGTGGTTAAGACACACTGGGATAATGGCCGAAGGTGTCGAGTGAACCAATGGAAAATCGGCATCAACGTGAGAGAAACGATGACGAGCTATAACACATATGACGTTTCACTGAGGGCGGTACTTAACGTTATAAAGTCTATTGCAATGTTATGATTGACAATGATGGCGGCAATCTCCTTGGTGGAAAACCAGGTAACAGAATTCCACAGTTAAAAAAAACCAAAAACAAAACACTTTATATTAACCTATATATTTATGCAATGACAATAGCTTCTCTAACAGTTTTAAACGGTAGAGTGGCCATATTGTCTTCTCAGACATGGCCTTATTAAAGGTAAAAGCACACTAACCCCTTCTCGATTAAAATTAGACCTTAAATCAGTTACATCTACAATACAAAGCAACAGAAAAAGGCCCCATTCACGAGCGCATGGCCTAACCAAGACATTCAGATGGAAAATAGTGGAGCCGCGGTGTACGTGCAGCTCTTTTATTTACATTTCTAACCTCAGTGATGTTCGAAACCTTTCGCTTCATTGAATGTGCCCTCCCACAAAGCATTACTCAGCATTTCTTTAGAAGAGAGTCAAAAAGTCCTCGAATACGAAAAGCACATCTCATGCTGAGACAGCCAAACGTTTAGTTTTTTTTCTTCACAGTACTTCACCATCTTCCCACAACACACAAGCACAGAAACACACAGTCACAAACCAGCACTCTCACAGTTTGTTGTCATTAAACAGTTGTGGCAATGTATCCGTCTTCTTCTGATTGTGTTTTCAGTTTCGTCTGGTCATGCATGTACATACAGTCTCTTCTGCCTCTTACTGCAGCTGGATGCAGGAGCTGCACAGCTCCAATGAAAGAGGATTAATGTTGAATGCTGTAGTTGAAGCCACGCATCCTTGGAGCTGCGATGGTGCGTCAGTGTTTTTAACTCTTCTCGCCCCTCGTTTTATTAAGACTTGTTTCAATTTCAGTACGTTGAACCAGCCGTGTGTGTGTTTATTTCTGTGTTTGTGACTTTGCGGATTCATTTCTTGAACAGGGGCAGGTTCAAGACAGCTTGATTGGTTTGGATTTATAGGTTGAGACAAAACATGTATTCCTTAGTTTATTCATTTTTCAGCAATTTTTCCATCTTCTGAGCCATTTCTCTTGATCCCACGATTCTCCTGTTTGCTGTCATCCTTCAATGTATCCATACTCCTTTCGATTCTGCTTTAAGATGCTTTAATGTGTCCTCCATTCCTTCATCTGTACATCCATCCATTCATCCGTCATTCAATCTATTGCGTAAAGGGGAGAGTGATAGATCAATGAGACAGTCTTGATTTGCAAATCCATCCCTTCACCCACCAACCCTTGATTTCTCCTTTCCTTCATCGTCTCCTTGTCATCTTAGAAGCCCTGGATGTGACAGTAGGCCTCCAGTGAGGAGAAGAGGATGTAGAGGAGCCACAGGCTGACGAACAGCATGGTGGTCAGGACCTTCGCAGTCCGAGGCCCGCCCAACTCGCCACCGATCTCCGGCCTCCGTCGGTACATCAGTGTGCCGACAGCAACAAAGGCAAAGATGGTGAAGAGGGTGACGGAGAAAGCCAGTGTGCCAGGGTCCACCCTGAACTCCTCCCCATTGCTTTGGTGGTAGATGGCAGCGATGGACCACGCCACCTGACGAGCATCAACAGAATCAAATTGAGTAATGTGACATTTAACAACAGCTCATTCAACACATCTGGATCCCCCTCAGGTGACTGGCTGCAGTATACGTAATATACCCCACCTCCTCCATTATGTCTCCAAATCACGTCACCACCACAAGATGGCAGTGTTTTAATCTATTTTGGCTTTATTTTTGTACAAGGGGACATGCCGTCCATCTTCATTTACAGTCATTCCCTAATTCACACTTATCGTTGGAATAATATTTAAAAGCAGCAGTATCACACGGCATTTAACATAGAATTCATGCACCTACATATCATATCTTTACACTTAAATGAGACTTAGAGACAAGCAACACTGCATCTACACTGGTCAGTTAATCACCAGATGAGCTGGTACTCACCCCGATGCCCAGGAACACATTGACAGCATTGGAGCCCGTCACATTACCAATGGATGCATCTGCATACTGATCCTGGATCGCAGCAACCTTACTGGCAAAGGTATCTGAGGAAGAGAGGGAGATCAGAGTAAGTTTTGAACATTCTTTCTACACATTAAACTCAACGGATCAAAACTGCTTTTTTTGACTTTTGGTAGAAACAGTGACATCTCATGCTCTTATCTGTCTTCTCAATAAATGTCCAAAGAACCTCCTAAAAAAATTTCTCTAATAGAAAATGAATACATTGCTGAAATTGTGACCTTTCTCCAGAGCCAACAGTCCAGATTCTTATTAAGAACTTGTCGTGACCACTTAGTTGATGACAAGAGGAATAAAAAATCTGGACTCTGGGGACAACTTGGCCTTTCTCCCTCTGCCACCATCAGTCCAAAACTTATCTATTCTTATATTACTGTCATTTTAACCAGTGCAGCATTGACCGTGAAGGTAAACTGCTATTCCATGTAAATTGACAGTTACATGAAACCATAGTGGCAATGAAGCAAGCGCTTCATAAATGCAAAATACTTATAATTATTAATACACAACATGGTGCAAATCCTGTTTTCCACATTTAGATTGAGAACCTTAAATTAGAAACCACTTTAATCCTGTTTCAGCGTTCCGTCCCTGGCAGCAGGCTTGGGCCAGATTTGGTCCGAGATCAGTTATTTTACGAGGCTGAATCTCAGACTGCAGGGGCAAACAAATATTGGCCTGACAACTAATCAGCATTGTGCTACTTTAGTCCACAAAATTTCCCTCCATCATGTCTGCCAAACTACAGCAGCTCCAAAGGGGTGCTCCTCCTGACCGTGCTGAAAGGAGCTTTGGATTCTGGGCCAAGTCTCAACAATGGGCTCTACGCTGGGAGCACAATAGTCAGTTAGTCCTCTCTCTCTCTCTCTCTCTCTCGCTAATTTTCTGGCCATCCAGTCGTCATAAGTGATTTCTGTCCTCTTGCTTTTAGTTGTCAGATGCAGCTAAAGGAGATTAAAAACCTGAGGTGGAGGAGAAAAAGAGGTGAAAGAGCTTTGTTGAAGTGGGGACCGATCTGGCGGTGGAAAAAAGGAGAGGAGGAGAGGGAGGGTGGATGAGGAAATGTGCCAACAAGTCCAGTATAGATAAACCTCCCCAAACACCTTAAAGCTCCGAGGAGCCGCCTGCCGGGCTTAACTGCGTGTGTGTATCAAGACTCTATCTGTGTGTGTATGTGTGTGAGTGAAAGCTGGAAATCTGTGTGTGTGCATCAATTAGTCTTTGAGAGCTTGTGTGTCTGAGTGGGTGAGTGCATGGTAGCTTGTGTGTGTGTGTGTGTGTGTGTGTGTGTGTGTGTGTGTGTGTGTGTGTGTGTGGAACAGGTTCCACTCCGCAGCTCCTTCTGTGAGTGTCAGCCTCCCTGGAGAGTATTCTGCCCTTTTCCTCTAACTTTCTGTCAATCAACCACTCTCTCTCTCTCTCTCTCTTTTTCATCCTTTCTCTCTCCTCTTCTCCCTCCATCTGTGCAGCATTGATGGAAATCTGGTAATCCTCCTACATGTGAGGATCTTTGTTTTTGTGTTGGTGAGGAATCAAACATGTTGGTCAGAGGGCAAATATTCAGCAGGCAGGAAATGATATTGATAGAAAACCTGACTGAATCGAGTGATTATTTATATTATTGATCAGCCATTAAAAAACGAATTCCAAATCTTAATTTCCTTAAACCAAGGTAGACATCACCTTGTTTTAAAATGAAATAGACGAGAAAAACATTACACCTTGATAAATACTTTTTTGTCTTTGCCTGCCCGTAATGCACAGCCCCATGCCCGCACTTTGCCTATTGCTTCTCACTGCCAGTTTGCAGTGACTGAATAAAGGTGAATTGTTTTGAAGTTGTATCTGTGTATCTGACTCATGCATTTGAATTCACCAGACACCAGTCACACTTTCAATAAACTTGAAGTGATGCAGCTCAGATCTTCTAGCTGAAACCTCAAGTTTCTCTTCTGACAGCTCTACCCGTTGTTTTCTTCCCACTCACGCTTGTGCATGTGTTAACCAGGGTAACTGTGATAGACGAGGTTAATCATCATGGAACCACTGCACAGGCTGGGCTTTATTAACTGTAACAGCCACAGAACTGGAGGTCTGTTTCTTTGTGTGAGTGTGTGGGCAACGGGAGGTTCTGTTAATAAGGCTGAGAGCCTCTGAAAGGCCGAAGCACTTTGTTTCCATTCTGCAGCTACACACATTGTGTGTGTGTGTGTATGTGTGTACATCTTTCTGTGTTTCAAGCAACAGTGTTTGTGCACTTTATATTATATATATTATATTACCTGTATGTAAATGTACATATATGTTTGTGTGCATGCATTTAAAAGTATGTGTAAAGTACTGGTAATACATCACTATGATTGTGTGTGTGTGTGAGAGTCAGTTAGGAGACTGGAGCCAAGGTTAAAACACATTTAAGCAGCTGTTGCAGTCGTCGGTCATTTGTCACGTTTAGAGGATGATCCATGCTGCTGTCTGCAGAGCGCAGTGCTTCCTCTAACAGGCTGCCATATATAAAAATATACTGCACAGACTGGAAACTACTGGTTCAGTATAATGCTCGTCTTGGTTGGATGCTCCCTGCACACAGGACAAGCCAAATCTAAATCAATTTACAATGTTGTTCTCAATGAAAGAAAATCTAATGTAATTTTCTTCATTTAAAATACATCTATTTCTTCTATCTGCTGTGTAGGTCTTACTTTTCCTGCTGTCAGGCAGAACATCTCCACTAAACTGCAGTTAAGTGCTTATTAAACACCAAAAGCATATGAAGAATGTATTCGTGATGGTAGAGGTCTGATGATCATTTCCAAGAAATTAAAAAAGTTGAAATGAACCATGTTCTGTAAAAGTTAGCTGGATATAGAGAGTTTCCATTTAGCTTATCTTCCCTTCTTTTTCCATTTTCTATTATAGCCACGGCTGATTTGTTTCATTTGACTGTTGTTTAAAAGAACACTAAGTTTAGTTAGGCTTTTATAAACAGTCATCAGTGCAAGGACATTCTATGTGAGTCAGTCTACACACTGCAGAAAATAAATGAGGGGAATAAAGCTTCTAAAAACTGAAACAAAGAATTGGAAATTTCAAGGTATGCACCCTGAAGGAGATCATTGATTAATGCACATCTATTTCTAAATGGAACATCTCTGGGTGTTTTATGCTCATAAAGGCCTTTTGAAGCTAAAAGCCAAATGTGGAGAGAGAAAGGTCTTTGATTGAAGCTGGCAGAACGTCCAATATCAGGATATTTAAGATAAAAACAGAGGCAGCATTATCAGATCACATGTATATGAACTCACACACTTACCTGGCACAGAGGTTCCCAATGCAACAAATACTACAGCTGTGACCGAGTCTTTCAGGCCCACTGTGCAGCCGAAATGAGAAGCAAGGTCCCCTGTAGCAAAAGAAGAGGGAAGAACGTGAGCGCTAAAAGATTTTACAAATGAAAAACATGTTCAACAAACTCATCTCTTCAATTTGTAACATTTTTGCTCAACAACATCTGAATAATTCTGTAATTAAGAAGGAGGTTATGTTTTCACTCCTGTCTTTCTCTGTCTTTGACATTGCAAGATGAAGGGCACATTGTCCCTAAAATGTTCAGAGAAGAATTCATGGATCGGACGCTAATAGGGGACTGATAGCGGGAGTGTTGATCCTTGGCGGAGGTATGAGTTTCACTAAGTGCTAGACTCAAATGTGCTGTCATCCTACCAATGACGCCGGTGAGCAGTCCGATCATGCATATGGAGACGACGAAACAGGCCCAGCCGTTCCAGTAATCTGTGGGCGGGACGAAGGCGAACAGAACCTTCCAGAACACGGTGAGGAAGTGCATGACGTAGTCGAAACATGATGGCAGCTTCTCCTCCCCGCACTCGTCGTCGTCATCGTCCTCACCTGGGGGGGGGGGGTTAAAAGACAAATTAAAAGTTAAAGGTGGAGTTCTGCCCGAGCAGCCTTTTAATCTACCATTGATTTGACCAAATCAGCTCTACCCTGCCGGGAAATAAGAGCTAATGGTGGGAGCTGATGTTATCTGTCCACGACTGATGCTTCAAGTGCTAATGATTAAAGGACTGCGTCTCCTTCTTTCACTCCAGCAGAAGGATTATAAGTAGAAGTCCAGCGACAGAAATGATCTGTGTGATCCATTTATACAGAGATAAAAACACTCTATTGGACAGACGGTATTCCTGAGCCAGCGTCTAGTAGCTGTGTGTGACCGTGTGTGTGTGTGTGTGTGTTTGTGAAAAGTCAGTATCAAAGTGTAATCATAGCCTCAGGACATGGACAACAGCCAACAACGTCCTGTTTAGGTTTGTTGTGTATGTGCATTGTTACGTTTGTGTGTGTGTGTGTGTTGATTCTCATATGTCTACACAACACAAGGGAATAGTTGAATCATGAATTTCAAATTACTTTTTTCACTCAATGAAAGTGACACACACACACACACACATGAGCATTAGCATTCTATGTGCTCCTGTACTCGGCTGTTGTTCTGCTCCGTATATAAATGAGTTCAATGAGCGAGTGAAGGAGATTACTTGCAGCCTGCCTGCAACACGCTGACTGGCTAAAACCCAGTAGAAGCCATGATCTCTTATTGACTTCACCCAACGTCTGACCTTGTAAGAACAGGTGATGCATTCTAATGGCCGACCAACCCAACAAGCATCTGCACTGTAAACTCAGCTCAGTTTGGAGAACTTCCCTTAACCACCAGAGCTGTTTATCTTCCTGAAGCTGCGCTTGATAGATTGGTCGCCGACTGTGAAGACAATATTACACCTTTCCCTTTTGTGCTTGAGGTGAGCTGACTCGGTACATTCTTTTCCTAAGCGTTAGGTGTTGCTGCTGAGAAATACAGAGGAAATGCAAACAGAATGGTTTTGGCACCGTCTTGTCTCCTCCAAGAGAAACTTTCTTATGTCCTTTTTTGTCTTGTCAAACCATTTGCTGTTGTTTCACCAAAGTTTCTTGCAGAATCTCTCGTCTTTGCCAACGGCCTGTGTAATCTCCCTCCAGGAGCAATCTCCAAGCTTCTTCATTGATGAGGCACCAAAACAAATTACGCAAATTCTGGCACGCGCTAGGAAGGCAGACGAGACTCGGCTTGAAGCGGACACACAGGTCTATGAGTGTCCAAAGACCAGTTAGTGTCTTCCTTTATCTTTCCGTTTTATATTATAGCCCCACCAGTAAAGACAAACGCAGCAATCTTTATTCTTAATTCCTACTGTGAAGAAATTGAAAATGTAGAAAATTAAATAAAAGCCAAACTGAATCACACTCTCTCAAGCACCCTTCAGTTTCCGAGATGGATAAATTACTGTCTTTTGAAATATGCCATTTCTGGGATGAAATGCACCTAAGGCAAAGTGTGATAACAGACTGGCTGATAAGACAGTAAAACATCAGCAAAAAGGCCAACTGAACAGTCGAGTTGTCCTCAGCTTGACTTATAACCATGATGATTAGAGAAAAATTCAGTGACCTTCTGTTGTAAGTAGAAAGCTACTGACAGTCTTGATATTTCAGTCATGAAATAAAAGTCATGAACCACGTCTAAGACTGCGTGTTGTGCAATTACTGGACGTTAGCCTGGGTTAACACAAAAATAATGTACTCCAGTTCAGGGCCAATCATTTCCTCAAGGGGTCATGTACGTTGTTGGATGTGATTAATAATTAAAGAGTCCCTTTTCAGAGTGAGCACTTGGAACAAATCAAATCATCAACTTTATATGAGCAGTGGAAGGTCAGTGCAGAGAGCAGGGGTTACACACACACACACACACACACACACACACACACACACACACACACAC